ATAAATTTAAAGAAAAAATGATATTGGAGCGGGGAGCGGAGCACCTATGGCAATGCCCGGAGTGCTATGATGTTGTTCCCAGGATCAAGTAATTAAGTAATCAAATTTAAAAAATCAATATTTAGAAGATGTGTAAGATTAGTAATCATCCTATGATACTATGATATTAGAAGAAGCAAACAAGTTTATCAATCTGAAAGTCCTGATTAAATGTGCACAATCTGTGTCTACGTCTGCCTCTTTTGCTATCTTTTTTTTTTTTTACTTTGAGAAGAAGATTTTTTAAGTCTTTGTGTTATTTCAAGTGTCTCCAAGGGGGACTGTTTACTAAATAAATGTTTAACATGTTTTTTTAACTACCCTTCGCCCTCTGAGACCTAACATTGAGAACTCACTCTATGGAACATTACAGCAACTGCAGCAAACCTGCACTTATCACTACATGGCATTGGAAAGAAGGGCGAGAGCCCAGCTGTTGATGGATTGACATTATTATGTTGCTATGTTTTCCCTAAATATAATGACATTATTATGTTGCTATGAAAAGATAGCGACGATATGTTGCTATAATTTCCTTACAGCTATGATTTCCTTACAGATAATGACGATATGTTGCTATGATTTCCCTAAAGATAACGACGATATTATGATATGATTTCCTTAAGACAATGACGATATTATATTTGCTGTTATTTCCAGGCGAGATTGGCCGCTACTTCAACCAGATGCCGGTGTACAACTGGAACTGTGTGACGGTGTCCCTCAAGCCCACCAACGTGACCAAGTTCCAGTCAGTACCGCCCGAGCAGTGCCCGGCGCGCTGCGTCAGCTACACCACGTGCCACAGCTGCCTCATGGCGCCGGGCTCGGAGGGCGGCTCCAAGGAGTGTCTGTGGAGCGTCACGCTGCAGGAGGTGAGGGGCGTGCTTGGCTTGTGTATTTAGTTTTGAGTAAGAGTTTTACGGCGCTCGCAACTGCATAAGCCCACTTACTTACATCTAACAAAAAACGCAGTGCTGTGGTGTGGTTTGCTCTTTCTTTCCTATCAAACATCTTTTGTCCTTATCTCTCCTTCCTTTTTGTGTTTGTTACTCTCTTGTAACACTTCTAATCTACTTATATGGCCTTATTGTGTTGCAAGTGCCGTAAAACTCTTTACTGCTAAATAAACAAAACTTGTTACTAAACCTAGACTCCAACTCTCAACATCCCCCTCCGTAC